ATTGAGGTGGAATGGTCTTAAATATCGGAAAAGGGTTAAGTGCCCCAAAAACTCTCAAGCGCAACTCAACAAAGTATTTCACTTTGAGTAATTCTGAAATGAAGGGAAACGACGGATTTTATACGGAAAATATAGAGGAATGCCCTGACAATGTCAGATAGAAACATAAACCTTTTGTTGGAGGAGTGGGGGGAGAAGCTTTGAACAGTCAAAGCTATATTGATAACTGCCGTTCCAAATTGCTTCAGTTTGTTCACGAAAATCATCCTAATGACCATATTATGTCATTACTCAAGAGATACCCAAAACTGGCTTCGCCAACACAACATACCCTTTGTTCCCAAAAACGATAATGCCCCAAACTTGCTGCAGGCTCGCCCAATAGAGGGGGTTTTACTGTGTAGGGAGGTTTATCATGGAGCCTGGGCAGCCCAAGATGCAGAACAATTCAGACGGCGAATTTACGAAAAAGTGAGAGAAATTGGTCAGAATTCCGTCCAGGACCTCATGAGAGACATTCGAAGAAAGTTGCGTCTGGTAGAGCAGCATGGCCTACTCCACATAATTCGTTAGTAAACTTAACTTAAGAATAAATCTCTTCATTAAAAAAAATCCGATGAATATTTTATGCCAAAACTTTCAGGACATACGTTAGTATCGAAACTTCCTGCCTGCCAGTTTCTTCAAAATGATTTGGAAATTATCAAGTCATGGTGTTCCAAAAACCTCCTGACACTAAGTGTGTCAAAAGGTAATGTAGCAATATTACATCGTCTGATTTACGAATGCTAGGGTTAGAAACCGCTTGAAGTACGCCGAAATATTTTTTGTCTTTTCTTCTACAATAAGATTTGTTGTCCACATATTTTAAGTAGCATAGGTTTTAATGTTCCTCACATAGATAACCGTTCGAACTTTACCTTAGTGAGGTTGTAAGCTAGTATATTACTGTTTATTATTTACTTATACATATATTGTTATTCTTATCTATGTATTTGTTTATGACTTATTAATGTTTATTGATATTTCCTGCAATTGGGTGTATCTGCCTGTCGGAAATAAGCTGATTATTATGTAGGAAGTCCTCTAGCACTTTTTATAAGAACTTTTGGTACTACTTTTCTATATCCACCAGAGAGTATTTATCTATCTATCTTATTCTGTGATACCCTGCACGTTTTCATTAGTTAATTCTTCATACTCGTCATCACGGCTTACCATTACCATAAATTTGAGTTTTAACCAAATTTCGAGTTATTAGGTAAGTAAGCGAATAGTATCAATAGTGACCACAGCTATCTAGTCAAGTTTTATTGAAGCAGCACCATTCACCTATCCTCTAGTAGGTATAATAAAAGATGGAAGGCCACCGAATCGCTTGCGCCTAGGCCTGTTACGACTGAGCATCCATAAGAAGATAACCGCAATGGCGTGCCAGTCGTGGCACCAACACCGGCACCGAACTATAAATTAGAATTAATGCGTCTTTGGTGATTGGCCACTTATTCGATACCGATGCCGCCGACTATGAAAATCTCGTTTTTTTTTCGGGCGCGCGCAGTTGGTTAGGATTTTAACGATATAAGTCAACGTGAAGAACTGTAAAGGTGAAGGGGCCATGCGTCTATTATGACTCATCTTAGGTTCAGGTGTTTCTATAGAAACGCTTAAATTTTGTATATGTTTATTGTATCTGTAAATGTTTTTGTGAAGTCTAATCGAAATCCACCGTTTAGTTCCAGAGGTTTTTGGTTTTGGTTTCTGTCGTACCGAAGTTTCTCCACACCATTTAATTGTAGAAATGTTTAAAAAACTATTTGAAATTTAAGAGCATAACAAATTTACTGCAAAATGGTAAAGTGAATAGGGTATATTCAGTTTTTGTAATATTTTGTGAGGAACAGATATTAACTCGTGAGGACTAAGTAAAGCTTCGTTCATTCAGCAAAATGCTGAATCAAAAATTATGAGTGAAGTGTCTCAAATTGTCTTAAAAACCATTCCATTTCAGTGAAATAGAAGGTAGGGGTTACACAAAGATACTTATGAATCGAGCGAAATAACAATCTCAACTCTTAAGGCAAAAAGTAGTTGACTTATTTGTGTGTTCAATCTAGTAAACGATATTCACTAAGCACTTGAGTTTTTGAATCGGTCGACGATTTGTTGAAAGTCATTGGCGGTAAATACCTACATAAACATTGCATTGTAATAGTTTAATGTTGACTCGTTTTGTAATCTCAATCCAGTGGGCAATGGAGTCGCAATATGTTCTGAGCAACGCTCATTTGGAAACTGAGATTAGATATCATATTTTTACCTTATAATTTAGTGAAAATTTTGGAAAACAATGGATATTCGGAAAAAATTTTAAATTTAGAAATTGCGTAATTTGGAATGAAGTAAATTTAGATTTATTATCAAATATAAGATATACCAAACAACTAAGAAAACGAATGATAGTTTGAATAAACTAAAAAACATGCTTTAATAGCAAATCGAACAAAGAAAAAGAAAATAGTTTTCAGGTATAGGAGAGTGTGTGCTGCCGCAATAAGAAGTCCAGCAATCAACTATGTCTAATTAATTTGGAATAAGATCATTATAAAAATTAAGATATTGACAAAAAATTCACTTATAGTGAAGAAGCGTGGGCTGCACTTAACTATATTTTCATAATAACTGCAATTTTGTAGATAGCAACTAAAAAATAATTCTAATATTCAATATTAGCACCCACGCTTTTTTAATATGACTAAATTCTTGTTATTATCTTTATTTTTTGTTGTTGGACTTTATGTTGTAATAACACAAACTCCCCTAAAATTTAAAATTATTTTCTACTTAAAGCTATTTTTTTAAACTAATTTATTATTCAATACATTCATATATACACAATCATCTCTACCTATTATGTCTTTTCTTGTCATTTTAGATCTAAGCAGATAAGATCAGTGTTCCCATGGTGCATGTGCCCCGTCTACCGATCATATATCATCAGAAGTCCACCCCGGCGCTCATTGTTTCCACAAATGACACTCGTCGGTCTACTAATGACCGCCTTTATAGCATCCTATCGAGTTGACTGCTCCTCACAACAAGCCCCCCGAAGAAAGCGAATTATAATAACCTGACTGGCGAGCAGGTAGAATCTAAACCTGTGATCTCTTTTACACCTCCGACTTTAGATAACTACGAACGTTTACAATGGGATTAACGCTTTCTGTTTACCTTTCGCTTAACAACATTTTTGTTTCTTTTATCTGCGAAGAGTTGTCCTAAACAATTTCTTGTGGTTGGATAAATATTTGAAAATGTCGGCTTTCAGCGCTGAAAATAAGTTACAGTGAAATCACTTTGGGAATCGGGGTATTTAAAAAACATCCATGAAATATCGATGATAATTCCCCCAAACTTCGAGATACAACATTTTGGAAACGTTGCTACCTAGAGCCACATTTTTTGCATACTATGTGATCTTTTTGATGATACAAGGGGAACACAAAGGCGAATTTCGGGTATATTGTACCGCCTTTTAAATTGTACCACCTCTACGTTTACTGAGAACGTCATCTAGTTAGTTGTTTGATGCCTCTTGGCGTCAAAACATGTCTGATCAAAACGGATAACCGGCGATCGTTGGTAAAAGTTGAAAGATTTTGATTTCTGTAAAACGTGTTCACGCAGCAGGTGTCCTATACTTAACGCAAGATTTGAATTTGCCGCCATGTTTTCGGTAAATTCTAGGAATTCTAGGAAGCCCTGAAGAACAATTTGACAGCTGAGAGGTTAGGGTTAGTAAAAATGGAGCGTTGTTTGACACAACAACGTGTTTTTATTATTGAACAATATTTCAAAGATAATGAAAGCTTAGCGTCCGCAGTTCGAAAATCTTATATATAATTGAAAAATTCAGGGAGAATCAGTTGGAGACGCTAAGCACATCTGTCGTCCAAAGACAAGCCGTTCAAATGTCCATGTCGAAGCTGTGCGTCCGAGTGCTGGTGAAAACCCAGGAACGTCAATTCGGCATCGTGGGCCAGAATTGCAAATTTCAAGAAGCTCTCTACAGATCTGTTTACACAATTCAATCAACACAGCAAATGAAGCCTAACTACCATGAACAGCGAAGACAGTTCGTGGAATGGATTATGGAACATCAACAAGTGTATACTGATTTTTCGAGCAAAATCATCCTAAGTGATGAAGCACATATTCACCTTGATGGCTTTGTCAATCGCAAAAATTGCCGTATTTGGGGTTCGGAAAACCCACGTGTGATTGTCGAAAAACAATTGCACCCACAACGTGGTCCAGATTTTGGAATGAACGCATCATTGGATCATACCTTTTTGAAAATTAGGCTGGTGAAGCACTAACTGTTACTGGTGCTTGATATCGCGACACGATAACTCCGTTCTTTTTGCCGAAATTGGATGCTGAGATGTGTCTAATATTTGGTTTCAGCAAGACGGTGTCACATACTATACAGCCAGTGGAACAATTCAATTACTGCATGAGATATTTCTTGATCGTGTACTTTCCCGTTCCGGCGATCAGAATTGGCTCCCTAGATCATGTGATTTAGCACTATTAGATTTCTTCTTATGGGATTAATTAGAGTCAAAGGTCTATGTCAATAAGCCCACAACCACCCGTGCATTACAAGAGGAAATTACAGGGTGCATCAACGAAATTCAGCCACCATTATGCAGAAAGGTTATGAACAATTTCGACAAAAGAGCGCGTATGAGCCAGCAACGCCGTGGAGGCCATATGCTCGATGTGATATTCCATACATAACCCTATCCTAAGTACTTTATAGCTCAATAAAAAATAAAAATTTAAAGACTCAAAACTGTGTTTTCTATTCAACTCAAAACTTGCGTTCATTTTGGGACACCCTTTACAACATTAGATAAGCATTTGTGTCCAAACAGTCCCTTGTTGGCGGCTGAGGTTGAAGTTTTTGGAGTTATTAATTATTTTTCAAGACTACAGGCAGGTAAAATTTAATTTATTTTTGGAAAGAAATAAAACAACTTGTGTCAATCAATCCGGTTCGGCAATAATTTGTACCACCATTTGATTGGTAAAATTGTACCTGCACACCTTGTAGCGGATACGGTTAGATGCAAACAACGTGTGACATTCGTGATTCTTGTGCTGAAATTAAACAAATATTGTTGGTTATTTGTTATGATAATGTTTCTGTTTTACCAATGTGCTCCAAATTGGTACTTCTTATAGTTTTAAGTTCTAGTATAAATGAAACTTTTCGATGTATACGGATATCTTAAATTCGTAGGGTATTGCTTTGTCTCAGCTTTATTCCTAATTTATGATCTCTGTGTATAAGTTAGCTAATCGAGTCGCTTAATTAACAATGAAAATCTAATGCTTTGTCGTAGGTAAGGTACAACTTACAAACCTCGAACCGGTTCTATCAATTGTACCGTTTGCAACATTTGCTCGAAAAGCTTGTTATATTAATTCTCAGTATTTACAGAAGTTATTTGCTATTCATTTTGACAGAAACGTGTAAAATAATCTTACTTCAAATTATTATTCATTTAAATAAGTGATTTACGGCTTATTATTTCATGAAACACTTATACCAAATCGTATGGATTACCCTACTGATACAGATTTCAAAATCCTCAGAGGTATTTCTCCTTAGCATGTTCCCACCCTCGTATATGCATTTTGTATCTGTTACGGCAGCTCTACTTGGCCAAGCGCTCTTCAGGAGCTTTTCTGTTCAGATCCCTTGATTTCAACAGTTTGAGTTTGACAGCTGTCACTATCATTTCATAGCATCTTTGACTTCGGCCTCACCATTGGAGCTTTACGCTTCACGGTTTCATAAATTTGCAAGTGATTGAATCCAATTTCTACATATTATTTTATCGCCACTTATGATCACTACGAGTACATCAAAACACCTCTTACCTCTTCTACTTTTATTTATTTTTATTTATTTTATAATAATAAAAAAATAAGAATAACAATAATAGCTAGTATTTCAAATTAAGCGTCAGTGGAAAATTAAGTGCGTGGAGACAAAACCAATAATAATGTCATCTACAGGGGTGATACCAAGAAGTCTGCTGGAAAACATCAAAGCGCTGGAACTAAGTTATGGGAAATACAAGTACCTAGTGAGATCACTATTGAGCTTATACCTCCCCCGAGTGACGGGAGTAACAAAGCCCTACGGCTAGACAAGTAATAATAATAATGTTTATTGTCTAACTACAGAGTGTTTCTATACATGATGACGGTAGCGTCCAATAAACATAAGATACCCCAAAAAGCAGACATTTGTGCTTGGGTTTTAGCTGAATTTATGGATTATATAAATACAACAAATTTCCTATAAGAGTTACTAGTCCAATGTAAAAATCGCATCAATTCATCAAATGACATATGTGAGGGTCCATAGCTTTAATTCAATTTTGAAACGTTCTTAAATTTTATATGCCTGAAGTATGCAGGAATAAAATTATCAAGTTTTGAGCCTATGAAGTGGAATCATCTTTGGCTGATAGCTTTATTTATTCTGGGGATAGGCGCAGATGTTTCTTTGATGATTGTGGTCAATTTTGGATATCCTCTTAAATATATTATTTAATGATAAACATATATTTGCCAGCAGTCGAAAAGCTGAGATTCATTATAAGGATTTTCTATGGGATAACATTTCTTGTTATCTAGTATAACCTTCAAAATCCACTTCCGCGTAATTTCATTTTTTATTATAATTAATTATGACTCCATGCCATGCTAATATTCCATAAATCGTAATAATTGAACAAGGGCATGATATATCATGTGTAAATACTTTTCCCTCAAAAAACTGCTGAAATATTTGATTTTTAATTTCGAGTTGATTAAAATGTGAGGAAGATCTATTGTCGCAAGAAAATGTCATAAATTATGTCTTGTTGAAGTTGTCTGTTAAAATTCTTTCCATGAGAAAATATAGAACCTATTAAAAATCCAATACAATTTTGTTTTTTAAAGATTCCCAATCTCTGTCTAAATAAATAATGGCCGTTTTATCTTTGTTTCCAATAATTTTTCCATCGTTGTTCAACTTGAAGAGGTCATGAATATCCTAATTAAAAATGATTGGTTCTAATATCGCTCCTTGTGGTACTCCACATCTGACAGCCATATTTTCACTTCGTGTATTGTTAATGTTCACACATTGTTTTCTATCTTTTAAATAACTTTATCATTGCTCTATTTTACTGTCATTGCTATAATAATTGTCATTACCTGTTTTGTTTGACTTTTTTAAGAACCCACTATTATGTTAACTTTCAGTAGCAATAAAACCTTTTATTTTAAAAACAAGCTGTAAATCAGTACTACCTAGACATAAACATTGACTGTGTCTGTGCATATTAGATGCTCTTTCATTGTAAGCTGCTTCAAAAGACATTCAGGTAGACTGTAACTCTACGCCTACTGTCGACTTACTGAATGTATAGTGTTAACGTTGGGAATGCTAAACGGTTAAATAGGGTAGATCAAAGCGTGCAAAGGTATAACAATTGAGAAATATTACAGTATTTCCAAACATATCTACTGGTATTTTGTAAACAGCAGTGACAATTGAGAGACATTCGTGAAATCGGTTTTTTCCGTCACCGTCAGACGCAGGCAGCTCTTTGTGGAAGCAACCAAGCGACGAAGCGTACTAAATGGAAAATGCGTACAGGTAACAACAGAACATTGACGTAGAGAGGAAGTGGCTATTAAGAGCTGCCAATATTTATCCCTCGAGAGTTTTTGGAGTTGATTAAACTACAGTAGGGTAGCCTTCACGGTGTATTTGTGGTTCGGAATAGGGCAGTGCCATGTCTGAATATACCCTATTTCTTGTACGGATATACTTGAATACGTCAAATAAGAGTTCAAATACCTCTCCCTAAGTCATTGATGGAATACCATCTACTATTTCCAAAAATATATTTAACTAGTTTAAAATAGAGGAGTTTAAGATGTATCGAGATTCACTAAAGATACCGTGTTTATTATTGTTTTCAGTCCCACCAAGCTTTCCAAAGAATCGCACACGCAAATAGACAAGCAAGCACCCCATTCCATGATATGTGCAGTAACTATTAAAACATTGTGCCAGTTTTTAGTACACGTTTGAAATCGTTTGCACAAAAATAAGGGTGAGTATTTAAATAAAAGTTGAAAAGCTCTTCTGCTGATTGATTCAGTATGAGTGCACTGAATATAAAATTTACAGCACTCTGGCATCTTCACAATCGGTTACTGATATGTGACGTCCATTTTCGCAATGTAGTTACTACAACCTCGGAGATATATGGAATTATTATTTTTGCTTTTATTGCAGATGATTTTATGTTATTCTGTTATTTTTTGTGTATGTGTCGCTCAAATACCTTGCCACAATAAAAGTGACGTCTCTTATCTTGATTCGTGAATCAAAAAAAGTTCCGCTTCGAGTAACCTTTAGCTTCTGGCTTTTAATTAGTCATACTTATATAAAATAAAATCTTTACAGTGAGCATCTCCTGAATTTTTTCTAACAGCTTTTGTCTATATTTTCCATAAATGAGTACCTCTGATATGGAACCTTTCCTTTCCCGCTTATGCGCCAGGAGCGAACCCCACAGCGGAAAACGGAGGCGATAACAGTACAGGTGTTGGATGAAGAAAAAAACATCATCGGACCTATAGTAGTATACTAGGTGTCTCAAATTTGACCCCCACCATTGGGATCTAGGAAACTATACGAGATACGAAACCGCTTAAATGGGGGCAAAGTTGCGTATTTAGGTAATCAACAAAATGCCGCTTAGAAAGTTTCTAAATTCAGAGTAATTCCGGAGAGGGACGGAAATAGCCAAATTTTCCTGAAACCATTTTGATCGTTTCCCGACTTTATTCCTAGTGGGATTCCAAAATAAATTTCACATTACCATAGTTACTTTTTCTCTTCCACAACATGGTATTATTGGAATATCAATATGACGTTTCCTCTCTTGTCCTCCATTATCAATTTTCTTTTTTCTAATAGACATTGTAAAACCTCAGATATTTTAAAATGACATAATTTCCAAGATAAGCCTTGGAATTATCAGGTAGTCATTAGTTTCGTATACCAAGTCTATTGAAAAGTCATTGTCTTATTTGAAATGAGGTTTTAAAATGAGTTGCATATTAGCATTCCCACTTTTGTCCTCTACAAGAAGGAGTAGTCAAATTCTCATTTAGAGGTTTTTGCTTTCGATCTCCATCCTCAACTGCGTTTTTTCTTATGGACTTCCTATCGAAATTTTGCGCAATCGAACTCTACTTTTGATTCGGCATCTAGTAATGAATATAATACGTTCATTTATGTCATGATACGCTCCACATACTTGATTAACATAATAAGTATGTTCTTAATAGTATTTAAATTCCAATATAGCGTCTATATGAAAAAACAAGGTTGGTCATGAAAGTGAAAACAAAAAACTTCGAATTGAAGATTTGAACAAACATGCTATTTTGTAGAGGAGAAAAAGTGGCAATAACAATGTGCAATTTACTTCGAAATCGCATCTCGGATAGAGCCAGGAAAAAATAAAAATGATTTTGTGATAAATCTCGTATATGAAACAAATTGCTGTCTGATAATTTCAAGGTCTACCTAGGAAGTTCTGTTTTTTAAAATAACTGAGGTTTTACAATGTCAATGTATGACATTTTTGGAATCAGAATTAAAAACTCTATTTAGCTGTGCAAAAATCCAACTTTACCCCCTTTTAAGCAACTTCACATCTTTTACCGTTTCAGAGATCCCTTTGGTGAGGGTCCAATTTGAAATACCCGGTATAGGCGTGGTTTGTATAGTCAAATCTGTGTTATGTGGGGTCAGCTTAAGCCGGGAAAAATGCAAATGAGTTTATTTATATTAACAGTTTGAAATTGCCTAAATGTAAGATGTTTTCATTAATAGCCATTGGTGCAAATATTTCAGTTCGTCCGGCGCTAGGTAGACGTATACTCACCATTTACTTATTGCATAAAATGGTGTTTCCATTGAGGCTTGAAAATGCGGTTCTGTTCCGCCACTGCTAAGCCAGAAATCTGACGAAAACTTGGATATTCGGAAGGTATTCAGCTTCCGAACAGACCATGCCTAATGTGTTTATACAAAAAGAGTGAGATAACGATTGAAGGCTTCTAAGAAAATCAGTTTGTAAATCACATGACAACTGTACAAGTTTGCTATGACGTTTTTATTTAACATTTAGACAATATCTTCGGTAATTCTTTAGCTCAGCTACACCACCCTTTTTTGTTTCTCCGTCCGAATAGACACTAGGTTTGGGTGGTGGGTGATGGAAATGAAATTAAAAATGTCCGCAAATGGTTTACTTGCAAAATATTATTGGTATTATCTAGGTTTTGAGAGGTATATACACCTCAATCATGACAGTTGAAGAATAGAACGGATCCTTTATATACCACGACGTTGCAATATTTGAGTCGCGGCCGCTAGTGCATTTGAAATGATGTAGGGCTGTGGAGTTCGAAGCCATACATACAAATTTATTTATTAAAAGTATCCATCAACACAAAAACCTATAAGGTAATTAGATCTGGCTACATCGCAAAACCTACGAAAACAAACATTCAATAAAAACCCATTAACATAGCTTAGATAACAATCAGCCATGAAACACTCCTGACACTGTCAAAAACGGCTGCCATTTCTGCGCAAAAAATCGCATCTGAATTCTCCTAGTACAAAAATGAAAGAAGTTTTACTGTTCAGCA